TTTATGGAGGAGAGCTCCGCCCCAACCCAAGTTTATGCCATCATGCCCGGTGCATCATTGCCAACCATACTAGGAGGCGAGATTGTCTCGCCTCCCCGGTACGTGTTCTTATTCCCTTGTTATTAATTTTAACGATTGTTTGATCCTGAGTTTGGGGGTGAGACACTTTATGGTTGATTTTAGTGGATTTTGAGCATTACTTGTGAGTTGGTTGTTATGACTTGTCTCCATTGAGTTGTGTTCTTTTGGCCATGTTTTTACTTGTTTTTCTTTTAGGTTGTTTGAATAAATTGTGAGTTTTGTTGAGATGAAATGACTAGATAATAATGATGAGTATAGTCACCTGATGCATTCTTAGGTCTTTTGAAATGTATTTCATTGAGATTTCTGTGTGCTTGACTCGCATTGATTGAAATTCAATCTTGATTCTCTACTTTTGACCACCGTGAATCATGATCAGTTGATCTTTTGAGCATTTGGAGAACATTTATGTGCATTAGGTAGACTTTGATATCTCATGAACACTAGAACCCATTTGAGTGAAACTTGAGGCGAAATTGTCAGTTTAGTGTCATTAGAGAGAAGATTAAGGCATTTTATTCGGATCGATTGGGCCGTTGAAGCTAACCCTTGAAAAGAAAATTCATCATTTGTTTACCCCCTTTGAGCCATATTGCTTATTTCATTCATCACCCATGTTTGTACATCCAAACCACCAAATGCACTTTCACTTCCTAAACCCATCACTACTAGGCATGATTGCATTAAACGCTAAGATTGAGGGCAAGTGTGGGTTATGTTTGGGAAATCATTACTGGATTGGCTTGTGTTGTTTTTCAATTCCAAAAAAAAAAAGAAAAAAAAAATAGTAAAAACATAATACAAAAATAATAAGAGTCAATCGGATGAGGAATTGAGTTACCATTTCTATTTATTTACAACATTGGGGACAATGTTGATTTTGAGTTTGTGGGTGTGGTCTTTATTTCTCAAATTTTTGTGGTTTTTATTTCTTTTTGGGTTCAATTGAAAGTGAATGTATGATGAAATGAGGAGTTGGTAAAATATTTTTTTTTCTTTCTTGGGAATCATGTGAGATCCATGAGTTGTGATACATGCCTAGGGTGATTTGAGCCTAAAAATTCTAATCTGGATTGAATATAATACATCGACAAGTGACGGATTTAGATAAATATAGCATAATTAGGTGAAGTCGAATCGCCCCTAGCCCATTTTAAATATAGAGATCCTTTCAATCCAAATCACCTTCGCATCCGTTGTTTGCATTTTTTAGTCTAGTTTAGTTATTTAATTTAGTTTCAATCCCTTAATTTCATATTGTCTAGATAAAATCGGTTTAGATAAAGAGTGATACTTAGTTCTTCCTAATTAATAATCCCAGTGGACGATACTTGATGACGGGTATTTCTACCAACAAATCAAGTACTTTTAAGCTTGAATATTTGTAAGTTTTCAAGCATTTTTGTTAGTTTAATGTCTTTTGTGTGTTTTTTTATAGGAGTTATAAATAAATGCGAACTTGGATGATTTTGCATGAAGCAAAGAAGAATATTTGCCCAACTTGTGAATCAATGGCAAAAGGAGGCGAAAGAGGATTTTAAGGCACAACAGAGGAGGCTTGGAATGCAAGAAAGCGGGCTGCAGCGCACCCTTTTGGGCTACAGCGCGCAAAGGAATGCAAAGAAGTCCAGAGAGCAAGGGAAGCGTAGGCTACAGTGCACCAAAGTGGGCTGCAGCGCACCCTTTTGGGCTACAGCGCGCAAAGGAATGCAAAGAAGTCCAGAGAGCAAGGGAAGCGTAGGCTACAGTGCACCAAAGTGGGCTGCAGCGCACCCTTTTGGGCTACAGCGCGCAAAGGAATGCAAAGAAGTCCAGAGAGCAAGGGAAGCGTAGGCTACAGTGCACCAAAGTGGGCTGCAGCGCACCCAAATTGTGCCCGGCTCCAAAAATGCGCGCTGCAGCGTACTAGAGGGGCTGTAACGCGCCCAAAACGTGCCCAGAGGCTGGACACGCGCTGCAGCGTGCCCAAGGGGCGGTGCAGCGCGCCAAAAGCGCCCAGGAATGTGTCTTACGCGCTGCAGCGCCTCTCAGCCCGAGCGAAATCGCTCTTCCAAAAATGCGCGCCACAGCACGTTTTCACGTGGGCTGCAGCGCGCAACTGAATCCCTAGCTCTGAAATGTTGTAGTATAAAAGGAAAGAGATGCCATTTTGGAAGGAGAGCCCGGAAAAGTGAAGAAAACATCAAAAGGAGGCCGAAATCCTTCATGTTGGAGGTCCTTGGAAGCTCTTCAATGGATATTGGGTTTTATCTTCTTTCATCTATTTTTCCATGTTGAGCTAGACATTAAATCTAGGACTTGATGTAGTTTTATTTGAACTATGTTTTGAATATTTTGTTGATTGTTAATTTAATTTCATTTTCAATTCATTTATGTTTCTCTATGCTTAATGCTTTTAATTTATTTGGCCAATGGGTTAGATGATTTTTAGATTGTGAATTTGATGCTCGGGAGAGATTGAAACGCTTAGATAATCAAATTAGGATTTAGGTCGTTGTGAGGCCGGGAGGCGATCAATATTCCTATTTTCTAATTCTAAAGGCGAAGCTCAATTTGTGTTTAAATGTTCATTTCGAATAGGGATATTGTTTTGGGTATTTAAATACAATTTCTTGTGAGGCACTCGGAAAAGGTTGTGAGATGACATTAGAGCCTTGATTAATGAATTGAATGGAATTGATTAGCGATTACATAATAGGATGAACATAGTAATAATAAAGCGAAATCAAGTCCCTAGACCATTTGTGCACAGATACTTTATTTTCTTATTTTCATATTTATTTTGTTTTATTTTCTTAATTGTCATTTTATTAGGTTGCCTAGATAAAGTTAAGTTACAATAATTGCGGTACTTAATGGCAATTCTAAACCCAATCCCTGTGGAGACGATACTCACTCACCTTATACTCAAAACTTGACACCGTACGTTTGCGGAAATTTATTATACAAAAATAAATTCGCATCACATCCACTTTCCTTAAAGCTTTAATACTTAACCTTCTCCACTAGCTTTATCACAAAAGCAATATCTTAGGAAATATTTCTCATTCTTAAAATGAATTAAGCTCAATCATGTTTAATTGTTCCCTATTAGTGTGCCTTGACTCAAATCCAAGTTTCACAAATGATTTTATAATTCAGTTTGAGGGTTGTTTAAAAATTAAAATCTAATCCATAGGTTTGGTTTTCCTATTTAATTTCAGTTTAAAAACAAGTTTTTAAAGAAATTTCAGCAGCATGCCAGCATAAATAAGAAAAATGCCAAACCTGCAATTCAAGTTCAATTTCAATATATATTCTCCAGAATCCATCAAAATTAGTTTCCAATCAATTAAACAAGTCTAATAACTAAAAACCCCCCAAATTTCATTCAATTCTAACAACAATTGTTCAAATTCAAACTCTAACTCAAAATTATTCAAATCTAACCAAAATCAAACTTTCTCAAGCTTAAAATTCGAATCAAAGAGTGGGTTTCAAAGGGTTTTACCTCAAATCAGTTACTCGAGCTTTGTCTCCCTCAATTTCTCCCGTTTTTCATTTTTTTTTGTGGTTCTCGGCCAAACTGCTGAGAGAGAGAGGGAGAGAGAGAAAGAGAGAGAGCCACGGAGAGAGAGAATGCCGGTGGGAGAGAGAGACCGGAGGTGGTGGCTGATGGTGGAAGGAAGAAAGAGAGAGAGGGAGAAAAAGAGAGAGGTGGGCGCTAGTTGGTGAACCATAGGAAGAAAGAAGAAAAAGAAAAAGAAAGAGAGAGAGGGGGGGCTGGGCTACACAGGAAGGGAAAGGGGGAAAGGAAAAAAAGAAAAAAAAAAGAAAAGGAAAAAGAAAAGAAAAGGAGAAAAAAAAAGAAAAAGGGAAAAAATAGGAAAAATGAAAATGCATTAAAATTTAAGAGTGTTTCCAAAATTTTTTTAGGATGAAATTATAAATACTGAAAATAACTTAAGTCCCTTGATTAATTGTGAAAATTAAATTAGGCACACTAATAATTCACAGTTTAGCATAATTAAACATGTTTAACTCTGGAGGGCGTTAGACTGCTGGATCAGAAAATTAAGTTCAGTATTGATTTGATTTCGGGAACGACTCCTATCTCTATTCCTCCTTACTGAATGGCACCTGCTGAGATGAGAGAATTAAGAAAGCAGCTCGAGGAGCTAGCGGATAAAGGGTATATAAGGAATAGCATTTCCCCTTAGGGTGCACCTGTACTATTTGTGAAGAAGCACAACGGATCTCTTCTATTGTGCATTGACTATTGTCAATTGAATAGGGTAACTGTGAAGAATAAATACCCACTGCCGAGGATCGATGAGTTATTCGATCAGTTGGGTGGATTACAGTATTACTCTAAGATTGACTTGAGGTCTGGGTATCACCAACTGAAAGTCAAGGAGGAAGACATCCCGAAAACAGCTTTTAAAACTCGGTACAGACATTTCGAGTTTCTGGTAATGTCTTTTGGGTTGACGAATGCCCCGGCTACATTCATGGATTTAATGAATCGAGTTTTCTGACCCTACTTGGATCAGTTCATAATCGCTTTTATTGATGACATTCTGGTGTGTTCGAAGACTTGGGAAGAACATGAGCAACATTTAAGAATTGTTCTTCAGACTCTTCATGAGCACAAGTTGTATGCGAAGAAAGAGAAGTGTGACTTCTGGTTGACAGAAGTGAAGTTCCTTGGACATGTGATATCAGGACAAGGAATTTCTGTAGATCCTTCCAAGATTGAGACTGTGCTACAGTGGGAAAGGCTTAAGAATGTGGCAGAGATTTAAAGTTTCCTTGGACTCATAGGGTACTATCGGCGTTTTGTAAAAGACTTCTCAAGCATTGCTGCACCGATGACTCGGTTGACTAAGAAATAGGTCAGATTTGAATGGGATACTAAATGCGAAGATGCTTTCCTAGAAATGAAGGTCAGGCTGACAAGTGCACCAATCCTGACTATTCCTAATACCGAGGAAGTATATGAGGTGTATTCTGATGCCTCAAGAAGTGGACTTGGTTGTGTTTTTATGCAAGGTGGACGTGTTGTAGCGTACGCATCTCACCAATTGAGGCCACATGAACGGAGTTACCCCACTCATGACTTGGAGCTAGCGGCTGTAATATTTACTCTGAAGATATGGAGATATTATCTCTATGGAGTAAAGTTTCAGGTCTTCTCTGACCATAAAAGTCTGAAGTACTTACTTACTCAGAAAGACATGAATCTCAGGCAAAGGAGATGGGTGGAATACATGGAAGATTATAACTTCACGCTGCAGTATCATCTAGGAAAAGCTAATGTGGTTGTTGATGCCCTTAGCAGGAAGACTTCGGGGACTCTGACGTCATTAACTTTAGAAGACTGGAAAAGAACTTAAGTGGTAAGCGAGTATGAGTGTTATATACAAGAGGATAATGTTTAAGGATAATAATCAAAAAGCAATGTTCATCATGAACTTAATTAAAGTTCAGGATTTTTAATTAAAACATTATTAATACATATCATTCCCATTTAGAATGAAACGGTGTTATCCGCACTGTTAATTAAAATAATATTAATACATGTCTGGAACAAGGACACAGACACAATATGAATTTCTAATAATTTTCGTTAAGTATAGAAATTCTAATTAAGTCTACCGATGGTCATATATGGAATGATCTTAATCCTGAGTTCTTAACAGACGCCTATTTATGAATTTGTGTCTTTTGATTTACTCGGTACGGATTCTGAGATCTTGAATCCAATTCCTTGTATTTTGCATACATGATGAAGTAGGTAGCCAGGAATGTTATCATACGAGATGGAATTCATTCCTTCTTAAGAATGAAGAAGATAAATAATTCTCTTGAGGGTTGATTTGGTACTTGGACCAGTAGGTGTTCCAATTCATGAATGTGTTTTATGAATCACTGTCCATTAGAGAATCAATGGTACTCAAGGATAAAGATATAATTAGAGAGGTTAACAGATTTTACCTAGCTCTAATTATGAATTATTTATGGAGGATTGATCTATATGCAGTGACTATATCAAATGGACACTTCACAGTTTAGAAGTAATTTATGTCTATAATTTGGAGAGTGCAATTCTAAGTTTCCAGTGGAGTAGCTATTGGAATTAATAGAATTAATTATTTAATGAAAGTGTTGAATTAATTATTAATTTTATTGGAGCTCGAGATTATAGGTCAATTAGTCCCCGCGTCGTCCTAGTAATTCTATCAGACACAAAAGGCAAAATGAGAATTTTAGAATTACGGAATTCTAAAATTAAACACTCAAAAATAATCAATTGAGAATTATTATTATTTAAATAATGTGATTATTTAAATTTGAATTTGAACACATCTAGATTTATCCATTTAAACTTAGTTGATAAGTTGTTCAATTTAGAATTCAAATTAATTTAAGTTTGACTTAAATTGGAATTTGAATTTGAGTCAAAATTGGACTACAGGATAAATGATGATTTTCTCTTCTTTCCTTATCTGTAAATTGGCAACACACAGCGATCAGAATCCCCTACAATGGCCGGCCATAATGGATAAAGGAAAAGAGCAGATTTTGTTCCAAATTCAAATAGGAGATAATTAACAAGCTTTATCTTGGAGATAGAGATTGGATTCCTTCTAGAAGTTTGACTTCTACTCTATAAATAAGAGAATGATAGAAAATTGCGCGAGCTAATATTTGAAACAATTTTTGCCCTAATTTGTATAGGGTGGCCGAAATTATTCTCATAGAATGAGAGGGAAAGTTTTTCTCCAAAAATTCCACATCGTGCATGCACTGGTGTTTGTGGAAATTCGAGTGTTTATTTTAACCCGTTTTGTCTCAGGTGTGCCCACACACATATCTTCGTGGATTCTAAGAATTGATGTAGAAGACATTAGTTTTATATACACAAGGCTTTGGAGCAAGGATAGTTTATGGTCAAAGAACTCAAGTTATCATCCTAATCGGCCTCCAGGTATTATTCCTAATTGAGTTCTTAATAAATAAATTAATGAGATTAATTTATTCATGCATAAATTAATATAATCTATAGAGTATCTCAAAGGTTTTATGAAAATTTGTGTTATACACGATCCGCCTCCACCACGCTTGGTATTAGAGCGGTCTATAGACGATATTAATTTATGCTCTAATTATGTGATAATCAAAATTAATATATTAAACATATGATATTTAATTATGTATGTATGTGATAGGTAGGTACTTGCTTTTATGGATGTTTATATTTAATTCATGTTCATGAATGTATGGATGCTGGATTTGGTCGTTAATTATATGGTTCCATGGATCGCATTAAATTCGTTCAAGTTAAATTATTTGTAATTTTATTCGGGATTAGAATTACTGTAATTCTAGGATTTGGGTAAAATTAGGGTTTTGATTTTGAATCAAGAGGAAGTCCAGAAGATCAAGTTTGAAGCTGCCCAGAAACAACCCCAAATCTGCCCAGATCAGTGCCCAGAAAGCAGCCCAGTGCACGCCCAGCGCGCGCCCCCCGCTCGCCCCGCGCGCGACTAGCGCGCGCACATAGCGCGACCAGTGCACGCACGTAGCGCACCCAGAGCACGCACAGAGCGTACCCAGCGTGTACCCAGAGCACGCCCAGCGCGCGCCCAGCGTGCGGACAGTCCACGCGAC